GTAGTAGTAGTAGTAGTAGTAGTAGTAGTAGTAGTAGTAGTAGTAGTCGTGGTGGTGGTGGTGGTGGTAGTCCGGTCGGTCAGCTAAGCCTCTGTAAAACTTCTACTTGGAACCTCTACCACATCCTAGAGACAAAAACTGCAGCCCCGTTGTTGTTTTTTTTGAACCCCCCCCTCAGAAGATGTTGTTGTCCCTACCCCCCCTAGTAACAAAATCTGCAGCCCCGTTGTTGTTTTTTGACCCCCCCCTCCAGAACAACATCCCAAAAAACATCGAAGAGCAAGAAACAGACCAACCAAGACTTGAGTACCACAACGACAAGAAGTCCAGCTACTAACATCTCTCCAAACCTTCGACCCTATCCCTAACAGTGTCCCTTTGAAATCCCTGACTTGCAACATGTGACAACTATGTTGGGCAGCTGTTTTTGTCCCTACCAACAACAACATACTGGGTTTTCTTGGTCGAAGCTAACATTGGGAAATGAAGAGCCAACGAAGAACCTATGAAGGAGAACGAACTGTTTTTCGTTATGAAAACATCTTCCGACTAATCGCCTCTCGGGACATTTGCTGACTGGGCAGATCGTGGCCTTTTCAACAGTGGTTGCTGTAGATGTGAGTATTTGGCCGTCATGAAGCTATTTGCAGGTTTTTCGTGGTTGGGTTCCGAACATCAAGAATAGACAAACACACAAAAGGTTTGGATAGGCCATCCTTGCCTTCTTTTTTATTGAACAATTTCAAGTCTTCCTCTGGGACACGGTCCAAAAAGTATCCCATTCAGCCAGCACATTGCATTGCACGGGTACGGTTACATAGCAAGTCCACTTTTCTCCGCCACTATGGCTGCGTAGATTGCCGATGCGAGCACAAGACACGCCCCAAAGATCTAGTCGGCGGACCTCCCGGTTGTTGCTGACCGCAGAAGCACCGAACGACAGGGGGCCCAATCTTTCAGCTTCCATTCCTGGACGCTACTGGTGTGACCGGCGCCCCAAATGTTCCGGGCACCGAGATGTGTGGTTCAGCCAGTTTCTGATTTTTTGTTCTGTATAGTTTGGGTGATCCAATGATCTGCGAGCTCAGGGTGTTGCAGGACAAGGTCAGTGAATGGTACTTCCTGTTCGCCATCGCGCACAAAGTCACCATCGGCTTCGCCGTCATCGGTGTCATCAACGGCGTGTTCATGCAGGCGTGGCCTCCGCGTGGCGTCGGGGCTCGGTGAAGGACCGTCTGCCTGGCACGACCGTGCCGAGTTCGTATGGGCGACCCGGCGACCGCGCCGAGGTTTTCCATGGGTTGTGGGCCTTTTTGGGGAAGCATTTCACGGACCTCAAGGTTCATCACTGAACCATCAGCAGATGTGCTTGAGCTCTTCTTGGGTATCTCTAATCACGATCTTCTTGGAAGTCCCCAACGCACGTGCGCACACGTGTACATGCGTGCACGTGCTGGCACGTACACGCATGTCTAGGAGACCTTCAAGGTGGCAGGCTCCGATGACAAGATCATGATGCGTCAGAGAGCGGCTTGGTGGATTGGGTGGAGTGACAGGCAAGGACGCAAGAGAAGGATTTGCATGGAACTGCACTTCCAGGTCAAGGAGGAGGATAACCACCCCTCGTGGTTGCTACAAAGGAAAGATACATCATGAAGATATGCAGGATTCAGTCGAGTGGGTCCTTGGTGCTTTTGAGGGCTTTTTGGGGTTGGGCCCTGCGCATATTCTCTGCCGTTGCTCCGCGCCTGTTGTTTGTTGCTTTGTTTTGTTTTGATGTGCTGTTGGCTGTTGTTGCCTCCACCAGTTGGGTTTCTCTCCCGACCTGGCTGGGGTTCCAGCTCACAGGCTGCGCTTTGTGTAGCTGTTTTGATGTCCGTTCTTCAAAGAGCGGCACCAGTGCGAGAATCGCTCGGGTGTGTCCCACTAAGCCAGTAATAGTCGATCAAAGATGATCACTATTGTTGAGATGGAAAAGCCTGCAGCCGATGCCATCATCCACTCCCAAAGCATCGCTTGGCTCCTCGGCGTTGTCGTGCCCAGGAGCGAGAACGCAAGCTGCACACCAAGAAGATGAAGGTCTTGCCACTCGACCAGATGGGGCTGCGGGGGCTTCGGGCTACAGACAGAGCCTGAGGTGAAAAGTAGAGCTTTACACCCACATCTTGCGATGTGCACCCAGCCGAGTTTGACAGCAAAATGTGCTTCAATCTTACTCTTTGCCTCATCCAACGTGGATTGCCCAGGTTTGAGCATGCGGATGAATCTGGTGATGGCATCCTTGACATGGAGGAGCCTTCCAGTACGCGACACATTCATCCTGAGGAATGTTCAGAACCACACAGCAATGTTTTTGTCGCTTTGAGATCAAGCCGTGATCATTTCTATTGGGAAGGCACCAAGGGAAGTCATTAGTTACTATTGTATAGCTTGGGCCAGCTCACACTAGCAGATGGTTCACTCTAGCTGAACAAGATTTTCTCAAGGCCTAGAGGAGCACAGAGAACAGGAAAAGCGAGCGCAGTGGCATGTTTGCCCTCTAGGGTTTTGTGCTTGCTTGGGTTGCTACTCCAGGATGATCAATCTGATTTCTGATGTATATATATATATACTGTAATTGCACTTTGAAACAAGTTGGCTTAGGGGCCATTCTTTCTAGGTTGGAGGCCATCGCTATGAGGTTGGAGGCCACGGCTATTAGGTTGGAGGCCATTGCTAGTAACTTGAAATTGGCTTATATACTGTAATAGAATATAAACACCTCAAACAGTCTCAGAGATTGAGAGGAGCCCATGTAGCGGCACACCGGCCCATCCGCAGGAGTTTATTCAAGTCTTGGAGAACCCATCAGTAAGGACCTGGCTGGCGGCACAGGATCTGAGCATTAGTTGGGGGTCCCCAGGAGTGAACGCCAGAGATCCGCAGGAGTGAACCTTGCGGCAGATTTTCCTCTCACTCGCTGAGAGTGTTGTTGTACTGTTTTGTTCCGGCGGCTGGGGTGGCACGAGGAAACTCCAAGAGCTGGCAGTTCAGTCGGAGGGTGTTCTCGTGGCAGAGGTTTGAAACAGTTTGAGGCTTCTAAGTTTCTTTAGAGGTCCTTTGCTTTGATGTTTGCTTGGTCGTCGGAAAGCCGGAATTGTCTCCTGTAGGGCCTTGAGAATGGGGCGGGCCAGACCTTGCAGTGTGCAAGGTGGAAGTGGCCGTAACTGAGGTTCCTTCTTTGTTGAATCTTGGAATGTTCTTGCACCAAAGCACTAGTTCATCCTATTCCCAGTATTTTTCTATACAAGGTGCACCGGAAAAGGCTTGGGCACCTGAACGCCCTGTTTTTGGTCAAACCTGTTTTGAACTCGTCCCATTCGGTCACAAGTTCCCCAAAAAGCAGACGCCTTGTTGATGATTTGTTCGGCGACTCTTGGGGTTTTGGCCGGTTTTGGGTGAGACGGTTGGTTTTGTTTGTCCAGCAATGCGCTGCCCGAAAGTAGGGAACACACCGCGCTGTCAGTATTTTCCGTGTTTCAGTAGTTATGCAAGATTTTGTTTATCAACAATATGAACCCTATGATGCTGTAGGCCCCTGTGTTTGATTGGCCTTCACCGCCCAGATTCTGACGAAGCCTCTGCAAACCTCTTCAGGCTGGCATGCGTTTCGTGGGTTTCGGGTTGGGTTTTGCTCTCTTTCCAGCATGTGCTGGGAGGCAAAGCTGCCAGGGATGGGGCAAGAGGAAGACCTTAGGATCGTCCTTCGAATTATTCCTGCTTTCCTTCATCTGAGGGCTGGCTGGCCAAGAAAACTCCAAAATAACATATCAGTTAACCTTTCTTTACGAGGCACACGTGCCTCGGCAAGTCCGTTTGTTCCTGAGAATGGTTTCAAACGACTAAGCAGCTGAAGCAGCTGTCCAGTCTTGATCGACCTCTGAGAGCCTCTCTGCCGGACCAAACTGGCACGTCATGTCGCTCAGACTTTTGGATGATGGTGATGCGGCGCTCACGGCCCAAGAGCTACTTGGAGCGAACTGATATGACCGTGGAGGGCGAACAGATATGAGGCCCAGCGAACCACCGACCTGGAGGGCGACCTTCGATGAAAAGCATCGTTGGAACACGCCTGCCAGGATTGTCACATGTGTCACATGCAAAGTGAGTTATGGGTGGATTTTTTCTCCGACTGGGACGAACTTGTCCAAGAACGAACACGTTAATTGCCCTTTGATGCATTTATTGTATATATATAGATTGGGTCAAGGGACAACAGCCAGGATAGGAGTGTTTTTCTTTTAAACATATATTAAACAAGTTAAGGAGTTTTGCAGGTTTCTGGCGGCTGCAGGGTCCTATGGAACACACTATGGGTGTGTGACATGCGCAAAAAGTACAATAGCAATCGATCATCGATGTCCAAAATCTGAAAAATCGATAAGACCTTGAGACGGACCACCTAGAAGCCTGCGGCAACACAAAAGAAAGAAAGAGAGAGAGAGAGAGAGAGAGAAAGAGATCATTTTGCGGGCACTCATAGAATCTTAAAAGTGAAACATAACATACTCTCCGAGCCATTCACATGGAAGTGGAAAACCACCTGTGTACGTTAAAAAAAGTCTTCCTGAGGCCCATTTTCCACCATAATGTATCATACTATGAGAATTCAGCGAGTGTCAACAATTCTTATTTCGATTTGAGGCGGGTTCGCGTCCTTCCATCACAATTGTGAGGACACTGTAGGAGGATGAGTCCAAGGTCTTGGCTTTCGCTCATGCCCCCAAGAACGGACCCGTGGAATTCCAGCGGTTTCAACACTATAGGATGATATGAGGCTATCACGATATTAATGAAATGGCTCACGTGTGTAGGTGTGTGTGTGTGTGCCCCTTGGAATCACAGGGGTCCTGTTGGATTGTTCTTGTTTCTTGAGTTTTCTCAGCAGAGGGGAGCAGCAGATGCAAGGGACTGCGCCTAACAAAGCTACCTTGCATCTGGGAAGCCAGGTCTGATCAACCTGGTGTACCTGCTTGTGTGAACTGTTGTCCAAGCTGTTACTCCACTTCTTCCTGTAAAGTGCTAGTGAGTTCTGCAGATGTGCACGAACGCCGTCATTTCGCCTTGTCGTCGCTTCGTTTCTTTGGTTTTGGCTTCCTAATGACTAGACATGCTCAGGCCTCCTGTACCTGGTTGTTCAGGATTCTGGTTTCTTAGGTTGCCGTGTGGCGAGCGGCATTCACACCAGTACGCATTTCTATAAGTGTGTCTCTCCTCGTGAGAGCCCAGGGTGACCCCGTCGAACGGGTGTTTGTCGAACGCATCCCCTGCCCGGATACAAAGCAGTCCGCAGCGGACACAGTAGGCTTAGGCCAAAGTTATTTGCCAAGACTTGCTGAACCATTGAATTCCAAGCTGGCTCATGCCCTTACGTGACCATAGCGGTCAAAGCTGCCAGCCATTTTGGCATGGCGTACGTGGCCGCAGCGGCCGAAGCTTGTTCAAGACTCGTTGGAGTCTGTCGGGACCTTAGATTTCTCCCTCTCTTTCTTTCTTTTCTCTTTGGGGCGTCCCTGGGTGCTTGCGTCATAGCTGGGAGCCCCTCTTTTCCTGTTTGGTGTGTCCCTGGACGCTTGTGTCGTAGCTGGGAGCACCTCTGTCTCTCTCTCTCTCTCTCTTTCTCTCTTTCTCTCTTTTCTCTCTTTTCTTTTTTTTTTTTTGTTCTCGGTTCTTTTGCTCCTGCCAAGTCAATGGCGCGACCACACCTTCAGGCAAAAGTGGTCCTTTACAAGGGCCAAGGATCATTCGCCTTGCAGCCCTGCCTCAAACTCTAGCCCTCGTCTGGAGGACTCTCTACCCGTCGTCTGCATCAGCTGTCTGAGCTCTGCGGACCAAAGTGCAGCTTCGTCTGTCCTTTGGCTTTCAGACAATGGTGGTGCACCCACTGCTGGACCCTTCCTTCAACAACTCTGCAGCTTTTGCAGCATTGATGACATTCGATCCATCGGCCTCTCCGGGCCAGTCGATGGCTGAGGTGGATGCGAAGGCGCAAGTTGAGGTCTGCTTCATCAACTGGGCCGGTCAAGCACTCCTTGTCAATCAGCTGTTGGAGCTGTTGCTTGCTGCTTTTCCTGGGGATCCTCTCCCAACAAAGCCGGCGCCCAAAGTTGCTACCCTGCAGAACCCATCGATGCCCTGCGTGGCCCTCCACTAGGAGGTCTGAACTATCCACAAGGTCCACCATCCGCTGCTCCATGGTGCGCTCAACATACCCCCTGCATACTGTGTCCTGTAGGTGGGCAATCTCTGCATGCGTCGCACACCCTTTGATCTTCTTGTTGCAGTGCTTGCATTTGATGCCTGCCTTGTAGATCTCCCACTCATGGGTGCCTGGTTGTGACGCCCTCAAAGTCAGCTGCTGAAGGACTGCCAATCTGCCCTGAGCTGGCTTTTGTTTTGCGGCCTTTGGACCACTCTCTGGGGGTTCCAGCTTGCCATTCATGTAGTGGTCCTTGTCTTGCAGCATTTTGCTGATCCTCCTGGCTGCAGTCATGTAGACTTCATAGTGGAGCTGATCCTCTAACACCAAATCCTTTTCCAGTGTCGTTGGCTGCTCTTGCTGAGCCCTTTGCTGTGCCAGTTGCTTGGCCAAAAGATATTGTTGTCTGCCCCTGTCATTGCTGTCTTGACGCTTCATCACCTTCCATGGCACTTGGAGCAGCTGCAGCCTCTCCCACTCTTCTGCGGGCAAGTTGTGCCACAGGTCTGGAGCCACTCGGCCTGCCGCACCTTTTTGAATTGCCGTCCAACCAGCTGGGTGAGGAATGTTGAGTTGATGTCTCCCCAGGACCATTTGAAGGACCAACCAGCATCCAAAGAACCATGCTCTTGCTTCACTGCTTTGACCAGGGGCAATTGCAGTGCACAACCCAATGACCTGCCACGAGCCAACCTGCCACTGCATCGCAACAACAGCTACTGCATATCTTCGCAGCCTCAGGTCTCTGCTGGTCTGCTGCACCCCAATGGCAAGCCGCTGATGTGGACCAATCCGCACCGGCCACCCATGACTGAAAATGCCATCAACATGACAAGAGTCAGCTCCCTCACATGGATCAAAGGACGGCATGTCAATGAGGCCCCTGGCCCAGAGCATTGTGTTCTCATTGGCTGCAATCATCTGCGTCCACTCTTGCGGTAGTTCATCCTGATGGTACTTGCATTGCCAAATCAAATGCTTCATACTGACTGGGGCATGACACAAAGGGCACATCATCCGCTCACCTCCATAGTGTGCTCTCAATGAGCCTTGTGTCCAAGCATTGATGGCCGCCTTCTGACCGCTGGAAGCTCTTTTCATTGCCTTCCTGTAGATGCTCCAATCAGGCCTCCTCATCAGGGGAAAAGCATGCTCCAACTCCTGGATTCTGCGGGCCCTCTGATTGGCCAGTTCCAGCTGCAGTTGCCTTTGAAGATAGGGCCACGGAAACTCCAAATTGAGCTGAGCCGGAGGCAGGATGCCAGTAGGTGCACGTACCCAATCATTGAGACTGCTTGCATCCCATCCCATGTCCATCATATACACTTGAAGTGCAGCCATGGGCCCTGTGACCACCATCCAAGGATAGGCCGCAGCTTTGAGTCTTCGCCAGCTAACCCTCCAGGCAGTGTGGAGCTCCGCAAGCTGCTCCGGAGGCCACTTGAGCACCAACAAATGCATGGCCTTGAGCTGTCTCTCTTCTCTCTCTTCTCTCTCTTCTCTCTCTTCTCTCTCTCTCTCTCTTCTCTCTCTCTCTCTCTCACCGCTTCTCGTAGGTTCAATTTTCACCCTGCCTCACCCTCGTCCGGAGCTTAACTGAAAAAGAACGCCTCCCCTCGGGGAGTGTGTGTGTGTGCCCCTTGGAATCACAGGTATCCTGTCGGATTGTTCTTGTTTCTTGAGTTTACTCAGCAAGGGGGCGCAGCAGATGCAAGGGACTGCGCCTGACAAAGCTACCTTGCATCTGGGAAGCCAGGTCTGATCAACCTGGTGTACCTGCTTGTTTGAACTGTTGTCCAAGCTGTTACTCCACTTCTTCCTGTAAAGTGCTAGTGAGTTCTGCAGATGTGCACGAACGCCGTCATTTCGCCTTGTCGTCGCTTCGTTTCTTTGGTTTTGGCCTCCTAATGACTAGACATGCTCAGGCCTCCTGTACCTGGTTGTTCAGGATTCTGGTTTCTTAGGTTGCCGTGTGGCGAGCGGCATTCACATCAGTATGCATTTCTATAAGTGTGTGTGTGTGCCCCTTCTAGTCACAGGGATCCTTTGGATTGTTCTTTGGTTTGTCCTTTTGATTTTCAGCAGGGGGTGCGGCATGATTGTGGGACCGCACTCAACGAAGCTACCACAATCATGGGATACCGAGTCGCAGTTTTACCTGAGCAACTTCATCGTGGGCCCTGCTTGTAACTAGAACAAGATGTCCAGCCTTTGCATCGGTTCATCGTCGGCAGATGTGCGTTGTCGCTTTGGGAGTGTCGATTTTGAGTTGGAGGCCATGTAGGCTTTGGGAGGTTTGGAACACCGTACTTTACCTGCCCTGGTTTCTTAGGTTTTTCACTTAGGCTGGCGTGTGGCAACCGCTTTCAATTCCGTACGCAAAATCATAAGTCTGTCTGGCTTAATGCCAGCCCGGGATGAGCCCGCAGAGTGCCTCCCGTGGACCCGTCGAACGGGGGTTAGTCTTTATATCTCCCTTGCCTGGAGATGTACGCGCCCGGAGCGGGCGGAGTAGGCTTATGCCAAAGTTATTTGCCAAGACTTGCTGAAGTATTGAATTCCAAGCTGGCTCATGCCTCAACTTGACCGCAGCGGTCAAAGGTGGCAGCCTTCGGACAGGCCGTACGTGGTCGCAGCGACCAAAGCTTGCTCAGGGCCTTAGTGTGATGAGTTCCTCTCCTCCCCTTCCCGCCATGTCCCCTTTCCCCGCTGTCAACTGAGACTCCCGCTCACGGCTTACCAAACTTTCCGGGAACTTCGCCGGTTTTCTTAGTTCTCACCAAACCCACCCACGTCCGGAGCCTAGAACAAATTTTGCCTCCCTGGGGGGAGGCGTGTGTGTGTGTGTGTGTGTGTGTCACACCCTGGTTCTAAGGGTTTTCCACGTTTTCACCTTTCCACTGTAACAAAGGCAGAAGGCACAGGCCCATCGTGGATACCTGTGCCAACGAAGCTGTTCCACGATGGGGGATGCGGAGATTGATCACCTCCGTGTACCTGCGACTAACTCTTGCTCAAGCTGTACCAATTCTCTTTGTTTGATTCCATGGTGGTTCATGATACTTCCCACAAACCATTTTCCGTCCGCATTGCAGCTGCTGACCGTCGCCTTCTTTTGAGCGCTTTCGGAAACATTTTTTAACAATACTGTTGAGCCGACTCACTCGCCTTGCCGTTCCCTCACCTTCCTTCCCAACGTGGCAATTGAGTCTAACTGAAAACCAAGTTCGAAGTGTGGCCGTTGTAGTCACAGGGATCCTTTGGATTGTTCTTTGGTTTGTCCTTTTGATTTTCAGCAGGGGAGTGCGGCACGATTGTGGGACCGCACTCAACGAAGCTACCACAATCATGGGGTACCGAGTCTGATCAACTCGGCGTACCTGCAGTTTTGCCTGAGCAACTTCATCGTGGGCCTGCTTGTAACTAGAACAAGATGTCCAGCCGTTGCATCGGTTCATCATCGGCAGATGTGCATTGTCGCTTTGGGAGTGTCGATTTGGAGTTGGAGGCCATGTAGGCTTTGGGAGGTTTGGAACACCGTACTTTACCTGCCCTGGTTTCTTAGGTTTTTCACTTAGGCTGGCGTGTGGCAACCGCTTTCAGTTCCGTACGCAAAGTCATAAGTGTGTGGTGGCAGGTTGGCATTTTTGCTAGGCACAGGCTTTCCGCTCGGACATGCGATTTTTCAGGGCACAACATCCTGCAGAATGCGGTGCTGCGTGTATGTCATCCGACTAAGACAGAACCAAACAGGCTAAAAAGGTTTCTGATTTGATCGACGTCTTGTTGAAGCTGATCAACATCAGCCGGTCCCTACCAGGCATGTCATATCATGTCATCCTGTTTTCGTCTTGAACAATTGCACGTGCCTGAGGCTGGTGGAAGGTGTCGCGCGCTTGAAAGGCCGGATGCGTTTGGGGAGCGCCGCGGAGAATATGTCTGACTGATGTGTTTGCAGAAGATCAGTCATAGAATCATAGGCAGGCAGGCTGATGGATAGACAGATTGCAATTTTAGACACACATATATATATATATAGTTTTTTTACATATTTTACAAGTACTGTATATGGCAACATGTAGGATTGACATGGCATTTGTATACCTCATGGGACATCATGTGACCCACCGTCTCATATGCGTTTGCATAAATCTGCATGGATCGCGGTTGCATTGAAACCCTCTCCTTTGATGCCGCCCACATCCAGTCATGAGGACTCTGGTCTCCCTGTTGGTGACTTGAGCGGTTACGAGGTTGATTCTCATCACATGAACCCTTCCGGTGAAAACAGCCCGCCAAGAAGAGGGTTGGCGGCAATACCTCCAACTCGCTCATTTCAAGGGCGGCATGCAAAGCCCGGTGTTGTTTTTCTTCGTTTTGAGCTCCCGCTGCCCAACTCGGCTGCGAGTCGTTCTTGACTTGCGACCGGTGCCCGCGCTCCGGACTGCCCGCCCAGGCCCTGCGAAGAGCATGGACCTGGCCGTTTTCAAGCTGGATTTCTTGACCGCCGCGGGTGGTGGATTGAGAAATCAATGGATTCGGAAGACATTCCCGTTTTCTTGTTGACGCGAGAGGTCACGGAGCAACTCTTTTGACCCGCAGCATTCAGGGAACATTTGGGGGATGTGGGTGTCACAACAACAATCAGAAACACGAAACCGTGCAAGTTGCCTGTGCAAGAGCCAGCAGATCCGGATCCTTGCTCCTTGCTCCGTGTGTGAGGCGTTTCGTCGAAGTGCCCAAGAGAGATTGGCACTTATGAGGTCATCACGAAAGCTAGCGTCAGCTAGCTGGAGTTACTCTTGCTTTAGCAAGTCGTTGGCTGGGAGATGGAATGACCTGACTGACCAACCCCCGGCCTTTCTCGTCTTTTCCTTGCTCGGTCCTTTGGAATCACCTGCTGAAGTCGACCCAGGAAGATTATGGAAGATTCCAATCTTTGGCGCTTCCAGAGAAATCTATTAACAAACCCTGTTGTTGGTGATCGCCCCCTGTTTGTTGCGTCACCCAACCGGTGGATCGCGACAAAAAAATCAATTCGATCGTGGAGGGCCCCGCCGATCGGTGGGCCCGGGTGTGCCGTGGGCAGCCCACCGATGTCTTGCTGGTGGAATTCAGCCGCAGGAAGTTCAAGGAGGATGTGGGGAAGATCGCGGAGCTGGTCGAGAAGCTCAGCCCCTTGGAAGAATGGAGGGGCTACGGAGGCCTACGGAGGCTTATGGGTTGAAAGCTAAGGCTGTGAGCTCCAAAACAGGTCGGACGGTCACAAGGGTCAAAGGATGGTGGACCGATTCCGTGACCGATTCCCAGATTGGTGAACTCTTTGAAGCGCAGAAAATGCAGGGGAGCACCCTGAAGGGCGATGAGCTTTTCTTTTCGGCTGCTTTCGATTCTCAGCCGGACCACCTCCTTTTCGGCCGTCTCCGGTTCCCTCTCCGCTCAGGTGGGGAGACGGTCGCAGGCGAAGGCTTTGCCACAGCACACCGGTGCACACGGAAATCGGTGCTGAAGGAATGAGTCGCACCCGCCCCGTGGTCTGTCCGGGCCTGGCAGCAAGGGCTCGGGTGCCCAAAGGTTTGAGCCACCTTTGAGCATGAGACTTGTGTCTTCGCATAAGAAGCTGCGGCCGCAAACAGATCCTGTTCTTTTCAGGCAGAGGCTTGGTGTACCCGGAGCCTTCTCAGAAGGTGCTAGAGTTGGTTCATGGCGTTATCACACCAGCGACCCAACTGAAACGTGATCTGCGGCTGCGCTCTTAGCTTGTCGCGGCGAGACAGGAAGCCACATGGACATGCCATACTCAGGAACTCCGAAGACTGAACTATCAATAAAGCCAAGGGGAAGACGCTACTGGCCCAGTTCTTGGATGGTTCACTTCCAGGTAGTACGGCAACTGCCCGAACAGGCGATCCCCAGCTCATCGTTTCATAAGCTGTGGTTGACATGTTCTTGGGGTACTTCAGTGCTTCTTCCCGGGTGGAACAATGTTGATGAGCCAACAGGAAAAACAACTTCCAAACATGTTTGGGTTGGCCTACGGCAGACAAGTCCTGTGCCCTGGTGACTTTGATAGGGATTGGCTTTGAGCATTGAACACTTGGTATTGACTGAGAAGGCGAGCAAATGACTACAGCCTACAGTAGTTGTCTGATAGCGGGTGAGGAACACATTCTGCCAAACCACCATTCCAAACACGGCAAGACCCTCGGATCTGCGAGCTTGGTGCATCCCATATTCTTTAGACAAGCTTTCCCTGTGGCCGGTGCCACAGCCAAGAGTTGGCGTTGTTTCGCTTCATCGTGTTTCACCTCAAAGAAGACAACGAGGCAAGGCGAATGACTATCGCTTGTGGGCCCCACTGACCGTACCTTTGTTTAGACACCAACAGGGACAAGGTGAAAGAACGGCATCATGTGTGTAGGCCACTAAGGCACATAGCACCATGTTTTGTGCACGTGTAAGCACACACGTCTATTTGTGTCTCAGCTCTTGTTATCTCTCTGCTTGCCCGTCCATCTGATAAAAGACACACCACATAATTATATATATAGTATAATCACCTATAACACGCACATCCAGCGGTACATCATTCATACATCCTTCCCTTCCCTTTCCTTCCCTTCCCTTCCCTTCTGTTCCTGTCCTGTACTGTCCCTTCCCTTTCCCCTCCCTCTTCCCCTCCATTTTCCCCTTCGTCCTTCCGTCCTTCCGTCCTTCCTACCTTGCGTCCTTCCTCCCTTCTTTCTTACCTTCCTACCTTCCTACCTTCCTACCTTCCTACCTTCTTACCTACCTTCCTACCTTCCTACCTTCCTACCTTCCTACCTACCTTCCTACCTTCCTACCTTCCTACCTTCCTACCCACCTTCCTTCCTACCTTCCTACCTTCTTACCTTCCTACCCTCTTACCTACCTTCCTACCCTCTTACCTACCTTCCTACCTACCTACCTACCTTCCTACCTTCCTACCTTTCTTCCTACCTTCCTACCTTCCTACCTACCTTCCTACCTTCCTTCCTACCTTCCTACCTTCCCACCTTCCTACCTACCTTCCTACCTTCCTACCTTCCCCCCTTCCTACCTACCTTCCTACCTTCCTACCTTCCTACCTTCCTACCTTCCTACCTACCTTCCTACCTACCTTCCTACCTACCTTCCTACCT